TCCGCCCCCCCCAGAACCAGCCACTCTCAACCCACTGACCCACATGGCCCCCCCGCCACCACCTGCACAAGAAGCAACAGCAGCTGCTGCGGCAGCAGCAGCAGCTGCTGCTGTACCACCAGCAACACCAGTGCCAGCAGCAGTTGCTGCTGCTGCTGCTGCACCCGTAGCAACAACACCTGCGCCAGCCCCATCCCCAGCGCCGGCAAAACAGCCCCTCATGTCGTGGCCACCTCCTTCGGCAGAGCAACAGCAGCAGCAGCACCTGCTGCTGCAGCAGCAAGAACCTGCTGCAGCAGCTGTTGCAGCAGCAGCAGCTGCTGCTGTGGGCTCCGGCTCGCACATGCAACAGCAAGCAGCAGCGGCAATGCACCTACAGACCTCCATGTGGGAGGTGGCTGCTGCCCAACAACAACAGCAACAGCAACAACAACAACAGCTGTTGCTGCTACACAGCAGCAGCATCTGGCCAACGGCAGCAAGTGGAGCTTACATAGACCCGATGATGCAAACAACCTGTTACCACCCGTTGCTGCAGCAGCAGCAGCAGCAGCAGCATCTCTGGTATGCAGCCTCCCCTGCACAGCAGCAAATGCAGGAGCAGCTGCAGCAGCAGATGCAGCTCCAGCAGCAGCTCCAACTGCAGCAGCAACAGCAGGATCCAGCAGCGGCAGCAGCGGCGGCAGCAGCAATGGAGGCATGGAATGGGGTGTGTCTGGATCCCAGGAAGACGGCTTAGCGCTCCGTGTTGCTGCCGTTGCAGCGACAGGAGCGGTGAGCCCGAGTAGGAGCAGCATGGGGCTGCAGCAGGGCCAGGAGGAGGAGCGGCAACAGCAAGAGCAGCAACAGCGTCGGCTGCCACGTTCGCAGAAGAAACAGCAGACGCGGGAAGAGTACCGCAGGAAGAAGAGGCAACAGAGGCCGGAGGAGAGGCGGCAACGGAGGCGACAGCGAAAAGAAAAGATTTTCGAAGGGTTGCAGTCCTACGGTCCGTCCTGTGGTCACTGCTATACTCAAGTAGCAGGAGGAAACAGCAGCAGCGGCAGCAGGGTTCGGGATAAGTGCAAATCTGTGCGGTGTACTTAATCCTAAAGGCATGACAGGCAGATGGCCAGTCGTGTTCACAGTCAAGCGTTTAAGGATTAGGGTTTGGTATGGTTACTGAGGGTCTAGGGTGTAGGATTGGGGCTTACGGTGTGCTTCAGAAGAGAAGTCGGCTGCTATGAAGGCTCACAAGGAACGGCTGGAGGCAGAGAAGAAAGCCTTTCAGGTGGGGGCCGGACCCGGAACCCTAGACTCTCTGCAGTATTTGTCCAAAAGCGCAGATACACTTGGGACACCACACGAAAAGAGATGGGGAGGCCGGAGGCTGTATAAGGCTGACTGTAGCTGCGTGCTGCCCTTCTACCCTTGGTGACCATTGCTTTTGCTATTGCTGCTGCTGCTTTCGCTGCTGCTGCGTCTGCTGGGGCTGCAGGCACATCTGGAGGAATGCTTGAGAGGGGGCCTTCGGGTTTGCTTTAACTGTTCCTTCGATGAAACAATGAAAGATAAAGTGAGATGCTCCTGTTGCCGCTGCTGCACTACTGCTGCTGTGCTGTCGCTGCTACTGTAGCGTATTTGGACACGCGGATAGAATTCGAAGGCACGGCTCAACGGAAGTAGCCTATTAGGCTACTGGGGAACAGATTTGATTGCTGCTGTGTCTGCTGCTGCTTGTACAGGAAATCCGCAGCCTGGCAAAGCAGTTGTTTTTGAGCTATCACTGCTTGAAGAGAAATACGGACGTGAAGGTGAGGAGAGGCAAGGTCTGGGTTGTTCAAAAGCTGCGGCTGCGACTGGGACTCTCGCATACCTCTGATGCTGCTGCTGTTGTTGCTGCTGTGCAGATTCAGATGCACCTTTCGTCCTTTGTGGAGGGAAGCCCTTGCCGGGTGGCGTGTGAAGACCTTTTCGCTGGCGCTTCTTGGCGGGTAAGCCCGCCCGTGCTGCTACCACTGCTGCTTGTTTGCCGCTGAAGGAGTATGTTGTGTTGGGGTTGTGGTGCTGTTCAGGTGTTGCGGCACGATGCGCCTTACTGGGAATGTTTTGCTGCAGAGGATATTATTGTTCTCTCTCCGGATGCCTCTGAGGTATGTCCGCTGTTTTAGTCTGTTCAGCCCAGCTTCTTGCTAAACGTGCAGCAGCAGCACTTTCTGCTGTGTAGACCCAGTGAGCCTATACAACATCTATGGAGCCCTTAAAAAGTTCCAATCTGGAGGATGACGGCAGGCACACAAGCTACTGCTTTCGCAGCGCCATTGCTACTGCCGCTGTTTCAATGGCCAGAGCATAGGGTTTGAAGTTTAGGGTTTAGATTCTGTTTGTCACGTGCAGGAGTTGCTGGACATAGACCCTTCCAAGGTTTTTGTTATTGGGGGCCTTGTTGACAGAACCATCAGCAAGGTGTGTCACAGCCGCAGCGGCGGCAGCAGCAGAAACGGCAACATCAACAATAACAGCAACAACAGCAGAAGCATGCATTTCTGCCTTTTGCGTGGGTCTGTTTTCCTTTAGGGTTTGAGCGCATCTCAGGCAGACACTTTAGGCTTGACGTGCCGGAGGCTTCCCTTCAAGGTAATGAGGGGGGAGGGGTTTCGGTGCTAATTATTTTGTTTGGGATTTCGGTTGTTTGTTTGTTCGTGGGTCTGTTTGCTGGGCCGGTCTGTTGTTTATTTGTTGTTGGATGCACATGCTCATTCTGCTCTTTCTACTCTCTCTGCGTCGTCGTTGTTTAGTTTTTTCATATTGATGGCTTGTGTTAGGGTTTAGAGTCTAGTGTTTTAGTTTTGGTTTTGCAAATCGTATTTGTGTTTCGTTTTATGTATTTGTTCGCGAATATATGTATTGGCCGTGTCACCCGTTTCATTTGCATGCCGTTTATTTATATTCATTTTTGTATATATTTACACATATATTTGTCAGCTTATTCTTGCATTTGGTCTTGTTGGAGTGGTATTTGCCTTGACTAGCTTTTTTCCCCTCATGCACACTTAGTTCTCCAATTATTTTTTTGTGTTTGTGTTCAGACCTTTCTACCTGACAAACACCGCGTCGTGTTGAACGTGAATGCGGTGTTGGAAGCTTTGATTTTTTATTTAAAGAACAAAAATTGGAAGGAGGCTCTAAATTCTGTTCTCCCTTCTCGCATGCGCTCTGCGTGTGGTAGAAAACAGCAAAGAATATTAAAGAAGAGGTATATTAACGTTTCGTGTTGCCCACACAGCAATCGTGTATCAAGCACCAACGCATTGGGTTGCCCTCCATGCTTTTTGCTGCAAATTGTAGCTGTTTCCCTTCCTTTTGTTGCTTTCACCGCTACGTCCCGTCGATTATATATACAGTGTGTACTGCATGTTTTTGCAGTATTCTTGTGACACACCCACGCTGTATTTTCAACTGTTTGATAGTTTAACAGTTGTATGTCTTCTTCCGTGGTGTGTTACATGGTTCGCATATCCCATTGTTGCTTGTTCGTCCGTCGAAGGGGCTATTCATCCATTAAGAGCACATGCTGCTTTGATTGTACATGCAGTTCGAAGTATTCGTATTGAATGGTTCCTCTGCTGTATTGACGTGGTCCTCTTCCTGTATTATTGTACTGCATTGTCACAGCCCTTCCCTCCTTCGGTGTGGTGCTTGCTCTTCGACTTTGATTTTGCTATTTTTGGCATTGTCATTTTAGGAACGATTTGTTTGGTGTCTATTTGATATGTTGTTGAATGTGTATATTTTACGCACATTGTCCTCCGTCAGTTTCGTTTATTGCTTTGAGTATTCGGTTCTTGGGTTTTTTGAATTGCCGCAGAGAAAATGTGGAGGCGCTAGTTCGATCTGACGCTGCCTTCGCCGCTGCGTACAACATGAGGAGAGCTCGGGAGTCTGTTTGGTGTGGGGGTCGAGGGAAAGCACAAAAAAGACAGAAAAGCGAATTTAATGAAGACAAGCAAAACGGCGAAAACAGTCACACGGCAGAGGACTCTGAAGATGATCTTTTTGGAGAGGGATTTGGTTTCGAATGTGAGAAAACATGACTAACATGAACAATTCATACGTGTCATATACAACTCGTACATGTCATACTGTGGTAGCCGCAATACCAGCATCAGCGCGTGGTAGAACATACGGAGAATAGAGGCAAGAAGAGGGGACGCTGGCAGCAGTAACGTCGAACCGTGTGTTAATAGTATATTTTCTATATATAATAGTGACTGCATCAACAGTAGTTCTCATGGCAACCACATTACGCTTTTTGCGTGATTTATGTTTAACTTCCTGCCATTTTCCACATTTGTCATTTGCCATTCTGTTCAGTGCTCGAGTCTGCCGACTTCGCTGCCCCAAAAGAGACTCCCTCCTCTGCTGGCTGCGCTGCGAATCCGTTGCTAGAATAGATAAAGATTAATTCCGTCGATAACTCCCTGCTCAGCTGCATGTACGAAGGCAATCGACTTTCATCATTTGTTACTACGCATTTGCTCTGGCGTCTCCCTAAGGGGCGCCGCCATAATCCAGACTCGGTGGCTACTTAGCTAGCGAATTTCCTAACTAGCGAGCCGACTAGCTAGGTAGCCGATTCGGCATCTAGTTGGTGACATGTTGGCTGTCAGGCGAGTTGCATAGCTGGCTGGTTCGTGGCTAGCTAGCAAGTTATGTTGCTGGCTAGATGCTGGTTTACTGGCTGGCTAGGTTCGTGGCTTGCTGGCGGCTCAGCTAGCCAGTGCACTACCTGGCTACGTGTTGGGCTGACTATTTTGCAAGCTAGCTAGCGGCTATGGGGCGAACGCGGTTGAACGGCGTTTGCTGATGCAGAAGCATGGACACGCAGTTACCGTTCCTGTTGAAGCTTTTAGAGTTCATGTGGTGTGGCCATTTCCTGTGTGCTGGGGTGTATTTCCATATGTCCCTGCTGCCATTCAAAAACTTGCACGCACACGCCTTACAGCGTCCTGCTGATGCTGTCTGCTGCTTGCAGCATCACAGCAGCAAGTTTTTGAATGGTTCTTTGAATGGTTCTAGGGCTGTCCTCGAGTAGCCCCTAATGAGCGCAAGAAGATGGCGTGTGTGTTGAGGTTAAAGGAGAACAAAGATTTGCAAGTAAACGGGGTGAAAAACAAGCACCAGACACAGGGAAGCCTGTTCGCGCGCCTCCTCTGAAGAGGACCTTAAACAGCTGTGTGGGGATATATTTTCTGAATTTGCTGTAGCACAACTTTCGACCCCTCCTGTTTGCAAGCGAACACAGCACAAATATCACATGCGAAGAAATGCTTCGAAGCGTGTAACGGCACCAAAGAACAGCAAACCTAACTATTCAACGACAGGCTCAACAAATATACACAAAGATAACGACACGTTCAGCAGCAAATATGTGAAAGTGTGTGGAATGCTGCGAAGGGGAGGGAGGGATCAAGGGGTGAGAATAGAAACAACTTCGATGCAAAACGGTTGTATTTGTTACATTGACATCGAGACAGTCTTACGAAGAAGACGCAATATATACAAAATGAAAGCGAAAATCTCCGCTTTCATTTTTGCCCTCTTTACAAAAGACGCAGTATATACAAAATGAAAGCGAAAATGTGTAAAGAGGGCTTTTCAAATGAAACGAAGGTCTAACTGTCGGAATGGAATCTGAGTAACATGGCCACCTTTCATTTTCCATTCTTCTGAAGCAAATTATGGAGAAACCAAGAGGGAAAAGAAGCACCAGGAACAAGGGGAAATGCCATTATGAACACAGGAGCCAACTATGTTATGAAGAAGAAAAGAAAAGCGGCATAAGAAATAAACGAGGACACACCTGAGGAACAAAACCTAGGAGACGAGGCCCCCCCTCATTCCTCACAAACAAAATTATCACGTCGCGGCTACCAGATAATGCAAACGCCCCCTCCAGCTGCAACGTGCAAGAAAGCAGGTAATGAATAAATTAAAAATCAAATCGACCAGTAAAGAAACACGGAAAGAAGTCAACAAGTACATGGACAAACACAAAACAAAGCAACAGAATACCAAACACGGATAAAGAACAATTGGAATCACCTTTTGGGGCGGCCAACTGTGTTTGCTGTAAGGACTCATCTACTCTCCTTTCGCCTGTTCATGCACGTTCCTGTCACTTTTCTGGCTGTTATTATTAAAACAGTTCATGCATCGTGGACATATATGCCACACTACATTCATCTATTATGTAATACACGTGTGCATAACACCATACACTTCAGTACATCTAGGTCAGTGCGATTTTAATTTACTCTGCCGAAAGCCAAAATAGCTATATATATATATATATATATATATA